CAATATTCATTTTTAATCCCGCCCCTTCCGCTATTTACAGTTAATTATTGTGTAATATGTTTTTTGCAGTTTAGCTTTGTCAGAACAATTGTCAGGTAATTTTAGTTAGAAAGTTAAATATAAAATCTTTGAACACAAACAATTTTGTAACTTAACCTGAAATATATTTCATCACAAAGATTAAGTAGAATTGTATACTTTAAAATACAAACATACATCCAAGACATGATAATGAAATTGACACACAATGCTATTTCATTTGATTGTTCAAAATATAATTTATAATAATAATGTCCTTAAGCTACACATTCTAACACAATCAAGTCCTTGATACAATAACATAAAGGCATAACACTGATAAGAACAACAAAATAATGTCTTATGAAACTCTTTTAAAAAAACCTTAGATGTAATCTTTTAATGTTTTAATTCACTTGCTCACATAAATCCGACTTAAAAGAAAGGTGCACAATAAAGTTAAAGTTAATATTGAAAATTGAAAGGGAGTTCTTTTAAAAATCGTTCAATTAATGTTCAAGGTAACTTTTTAAAGGTGTCGCGTTGATATCGATAAAATAGCCATAGACAAATCCTTCTTAATTAATAAATTTGGGGATTTTGCCGAAAAAAGAAGTTTAGTAAATAGAATATGTTACTTTTAAGATAATAGAAAACAAAGACATCATTGTGTTTATCAGAAAAAATAAAAATGCAATATAAATTAATTTTTAAAAACTCTACACTGAAGCCCACGCTTAATAATGCTGGCATCCGTCTGTCCCAATGTGACGATGGAGTGGGCTTCATAGGACGAAATCCACGTTATCCACGTCAAGGAATATAGGCTGGTTTCGAACAGCAAATCTCCTCTCTCCACGCCACTGGATAACCCAAGGGAACATCAATGGATGATACAGCTTGGCACCAGTGACTTCGCAGGAGTTGTTGGGATGTTTCATTATATCAATGTTAGCCGCCCTTCGGGACTCCATCTCCGGGTTTGATTATATGAGTTGCCATCAAAAGTTAACGCGTCCCATCCACCCGGGAATGGTGGTGTTTTTGCTTGACTGGGCTCTGGCTGGAATTGAACTCCAGACCACCAATTTGAGATATGCTCAGTTTAGTCCACTTGGCCACCCAGCACCCAGTTTAATAATATAGCGCGTGAAATGGGGTAAAAAAGAAAAAGTAGCCCCAAAAACTCAATCTGTGATGACCTTTGCTAAATGTATCTTTTAAAGAGCGGTTATCTGCTGTTGTCCTATAAAGCCCGTAATTTTGTCAATGTAATGATTTTTCGTTTTCTATTTTACCATATATACGCGTTTAGACGTTTTAAGTATATAATGCGAGAAACTAACATTTTTTGGGTGGTGAGGTTGGGGGGGGTGGGGGCATGTCCTTGTATGACGCGATCTGTTGATCTTGTTCGATAACTTTAATAATAATAAATCCTCATCCTCATGTCCGTTAGTCCTTGGACCGTTGGCGCGCCACAGATGACATGTGAACCATCCTCCTCTATTCTCTCTGTCTACGCACTGCATCCCCAGTGTTAGTCCTGTCCACTCTTTGATGTTATTCCCCACGCTTTTTCTTTGTCTTCCTCTTCTTCTCCCTCCTCTTGTGGTGCCCTGCAATATTTCTTTGGCAAGCCCTTATTTCCTTGTTACGTGGCCGTACCATTGAAGTCTGCGTTTCTCACAGTCCCCAATAGGTCAGCGTACTCCCCAAATGCCTGACGAACCCTTTCTTTCACTGTATCATTGTATATATGGTCCCTATAGCAGATGCCAAAAATGCTTCTGAAGCACCTCATCTCCATCGCCTTTAGTTTCCTTTCAAGATCGGCTGTTAATGTCCAGGATTCGCAGGCATAAATGAAAATGGAGAGGACTAATGAGCACTTCAGCCTCATTTTGGTGCTGGGGGCTAAATTTTTGTCATTCCATATTTTCTTGAGCTTTTTTAGTGCTGTTGTAGCCTGCGCAATCCTGGACATCAGTTCGGGCTTGGAGACTTCCTCTGAGACTAATGCTCCTAGGTATTTGAAGCAGCCGACAGTCTCTAATCTTTCCTTCCCGACCTTAATTTCAGTGGTGATGCCTGCGGTATTATTAGTCAACAGTTTTGTCTTTTCGGCACCGATGAGCATGCCGTAGGACGACGAGATCTTATCGAGACGCTATACCAGTTTTGCTAGCTTTTCTTCGTTCCCAGCCAATACGTCTGTGTCGTCCACATAGCGTAGGTTGGTGATTGTTCTGCCACCAATGCTGACTGTCCCTTCATCCGCTTCCAGAGCAACTGACAATTCTCTCTAGGAAGATGTTGGATAGGGTGGGGGAGAGCAGGCAGCCTTGTCGTACTCCAACTGTGGTCTTGAACCATTCTCCGATGTTGATGTTTAGGAAGACTGCACTGGTGGCCTTATCATAGAGGTTGCATATCATGCTGGTTAGGTTTGTGTTGATGTTGTAGTGCCTCATTGTGCCCATAAAGCAGCATGTCAAACCGTGTCAAATGCTTTCTTGAAGTCAACAAAGACGTGGTACAGGTTTTGTTGGTGTTGAGCATATAATAATAAAGTAGGTGATTAAAAAAAATAACGTCAATTTTCTTTAATTATTGTAATGTTTAAAATGAAATGTGTCAATATCGCTACAATTATGATAATACTCTTCAAGGGACGCTATTTAAAAAACATTGGTTACATGAAGATGTGATGCTCATTAGATCGACGATACGATTGAGTCTAGTGCATTTTTTCGCATTGGAGTTATCCGAATAGTCTATATCCTTTAATTAAATATTGCCAGGCCCATCCGCGTATAATGCGAAATCCTAACTTAAGATACCATGTTTAACAATGCATTTCTATATACTAGGGAACTAATATACGATACTTATTTACTGCCCTCTCTTATACTACCTCTCAGCTAAGTTCCATTTTAACATTTTTATTGCTTTATGTCTTTTGCTTGTTCGCTGACGAAGGCTTCCAGGCGAAATGTTTGTTGTTTTTCTTTTTTAAGTTCCTTCTTTCAGGTTTGTCTTCACTTTGTTAAAAAAATTTTTTTTTTTTTTGCTTCCTCGGATTTACACCAATTTGGGTTTACGTATGGAGGCGGAAAGCCATGGATCGCTCCGAATGGAATGATGTGGTGGAACTTACCAGGGCCCTAAATGGGCTGAAGCCTTACTGATGATGATGAGGACTATTTTGCTTACTAGATTGCACTCTCTCCCCTTATTACTCTTTATTGAATCATTTTGTCATGTTTTTCTTTATTTTAAAAAATAAATAAATGAACTATTATGGTTCGTGGGTTTTTTTCAGTTTAAAAAGGTTAAATAACAGTCTTCTGCGTTTAATGAATATTACATATAAATTCTATATTTTCATATTAGTTCCTTTACAATGTAGAAATGGGTAAACATTTATTTACACAGCGAAACACATAAAAAAAAAATATTTTTATTTTAAAGCTCTGGCTAAAATCAAAATCATATACGAGAGCAATGTCAATTCACATTCTCAGTGTTAAGTCTCTCGCAGTTTGTGAAGTGGCAGGGTGGTTATCCGTAACGCCTAACGATACATTTGGCAAACTACCTCTTAAATGTTACACATTTTGTTTTGCACACAATAGTTTTGTTGATGTATGTACAATAAAAAATTAAGATAACAAAGTAGCGTGCATCCAATTTTAATGGTATTTAAAAAAAAAAAAAAATATTAGCTAAATAAGCAATTATATGAATGGGTAATATAAATTTAAGTTAGAATAAAAAAAATGTCTTTTGATTGCTACATTAAAAAAAAAGAACATTTTCGTTGCACAAACTAAAAAAAAGAACGGACAACTGCTGAAGAGATAATATTTTTTTTAGAAATTTTTGTATGGTTCACTTTGATTAACACAGCTGGAATCTAAACGGGGAAAACTATTCTGACAAACATGAATCTTGATACTATGAAGCCTATTTTTGTTTCTTTTTTCATTTCTGGTGATGGGAAACATGACGAGTAGCGATGATATTTGCCTGGAATAAAAACTTGGTAAAAGGAAATACAAAATATATATTGTTAATAGAACGAAATTAATGTCAAATGTCACAATATAGTTTCGTTAAAATAATATTGTACTGCGTATTTCTTGCTTTTTTTTAATAGTAGTGTTTCATGATTTATGAGTTTTGCGAAGTTTACATTTTCATTTACTACAACTATAACTATTGTTTCAGTTTTGGGAAAATATCAATCTCACTAGTGTAGATATAATCATTCTAAAATCTTGCATTGCACAGCTTTCAGATGTCAAAGTATTTAACACTCAACACATGGTTCTCCTGAAAGGAGTAAATTTAACTTAGGCACCGCACAAAGAAAAGAGTATCGTTTGTGTGCATACATAAATGTTCATATCAACCAAGGCACAGGGGAAATACACAGTTTTATTTGTATGGTTTAAAGAAAGAAACACAAAAAAGATCAGTGTGGGCCGACTTGAGGTCGGAAAAAATCGGCTGGCCTTTTCTGATCTGGGATAATAGAGACCAACTTCGGACAATTACCGTTTCTAGTTTCAGAAGAGTATTAGTACTTACGCGTGAAACAATACCACAAACATACAAATTTATAAAACCACATAATAGAAGGCTAAATGTATTAATCGCCAACACATGTGTATAAAAAATCAGATGTAAAGAATCCCTCATTTGTATATTAAGTTAGATTATAAACTCCGCTATATTACATAGATAATATCATTTTTTTTCTAGTTGTTTTATTGAACTGTTTTCTTCGCCTGTTTAAAAAAAAAATGATGTTTATTCCCCACTAAATTTGATATAGATTTCCTAAGTTACATACTTTACATATTTTTCGTTCCTAAATCTTAAACTTTAGGAAATGTAAATTAAAAATCGGGAATTTCCATTTCATTACAAATTCACCTTTAAAAATATCCGCTATTATTTTTGTTTTGCTTTAAAAATAAGGAAGGTTATTATAAAGACATTAATTTTGAAATTTAAGTAAGACTGTTCTCATTTGGGCCATAAAACTTCAATTTAAACAGGAAGTATGTATTTGCGATACAGAAATAGGTTTTGTACAGTATTTTAATTTCAAAAATATTTTTTAAAAGATACAATACGAAATATGAATTAAGCTTGATTTACTTTTTTAAAGAAAAAAAAAATTGCAACATATTTTTATGGCTAGTTTATCCTATAAAGATATTTAACATAACCCTATTAAAAAAGTAAAAAAATAATATGATTAATATGTTGGTTTCTTTTATTAGTAGACGTCTTCAAAATGTTTAATGCATTTTTTAAAAAAAATTGGTTTCAGAGTATTTTTTTTTAAAGGATGTTTAAAGTGTTTCTCATACTTGCACATATTATCATATCCTTTGGTAAGTAAAAAAAAAGCACAAACAAACAAAGATATTTAAATGGATATATTAACTAACTAAGTATGTAGGTGGGTATGCATGCATACATGCATACCCACCTACATACTTAATTAGTTAATATATCCATTTAAATATCTTTGTTTGTAAGTAAGGGTTTTGGTTATTTGGTTGGAAGATTGGTAGATAGTTTAGTTGGCGTGTAAATAGTTAAGATCATAGGTAGGTTCGTAGGTGCTTAGGTTGGTAGATGTAAAGGTAGGAGCTTAAGCTACATACACATATACACATTCATTGATGTATAGTCAATATATTAGTATAAACTATTTATATATATATGTGTGTTTGTTGTTGTGTGTTATATATATGTATGTATGAAAAATGTATATATATATTTGAATGTATAAATCTATTAGCTTAATTTTCATAATTCGTAATGCATTTTTGGTTTTAACATTCAAATTGCTGGTTATTAAAGTGTTTAGTAAAAAAAAAGTTTGGGGTGGGGGGGGGGATGGGGGCAAAACGCACACAAGAAAAATACATTTTTTAAAAATTAAAGACGATAAAGTAAGAAAGCTTATTGTTACAGTAAATTATATATTTTTAAGAATTGTATATGCTTAAATTTGTATTAAATTGTAATACTAATTTTTAAATTTATTTCTCAGAATAATACTAATATCATTGCAATTTTTCGCATCAAACGATTAAACTTATATTTTATTTTTTATTTTTAGAAACACATTTTTCAAAGATTTATAATAGTATAACCGTTACCTCTATTAAAATTATTTTATTCAATCCATTGCAATCATTATCGATAGGACAAAAGATAACATTGTTTGATTACCGACAAGAAGATAGTGAGACAAAGTGCACACACGGTTTGGTCAGTGGTGTGGACACGGTGGTGTTTAAATCTCAAGTGGATTTTTCTCAAGATATTAAAATGAAGTATGCACATTTTTATATACAAAGGAAAATGGACCAAATACCTATGTTAGTAAGTAATGTACATAATAGAATAATACAAATCTTTACATTAAAGCTATGAAGCTGTTTCAATTTCGTCATGCGTTTTGCAGACGAAAGATTATGTTTAAAAATAATATAGTTAGCCTTCTTATCTGAAATGTTAAAACAGAATTTTGCATGCTTTTTGTTCCATTTAAAAAAATATGATGTTGAAGCTTTGTGTTTCCTTTCTTTGTTTAATTTATCATCTTCTGGTTTTTTGTTTTTTGTGTAATTTATTTTTATTTTTTTATTTTTAATGGTTGTCAATTTATCACTTTCAGATTGTTTATGTCTCTGTTTTATAATCATTTATGTATGCATACAATTAACTGGCAATATCGAACTTGATCCTACAATTAAAAAGGGAATATGGCATGTAAATAATGCTTTTTTAACTCAAGACATTGGAGATTATTCTTTATCTAGTTGACTTAATGTTTTAATTAAAATTAAAATACAAAGGTATACACTAAATAATTCACAATGTTTGTCATGTGTTTAAAACCTATCAGTTGTTAAAATTTTATTTTTTAACTGTAAATATATATATTTCTTTATTTTTTGTGTGTAAATTCAATACTTTTAAGTATAATTCATACATTTGCTATATGTATCATGTCAGTACTTTGACTTCAACATACAAGAGTGTGTCTCCAGTCAGAGTATTACATGCGAACGTGCAGGCATGTTTCTTATAAACTTAACCATCAAAGTTCCAGCATCTAGAGAATACAGTGGTGCAGCTATCAGTGGTACATTATTTACTTCAAACATGAAGATAATTTTTAGCAACACACATAATTTTCCTTCAATAATGGGTAAATATTTTTTTTTTTCTTTTAGAAAATTTAATGTTGATACAAAATTTAATTATTTCAGTTACGATCTTATACACTTTTTAAATTTATATAATAATGTATATGTTAAATTAAAATCAAACTATGGATACAAAACGTTTTGAAACAGCAATAACAAATGTATTTTCCATGTAACCCATACATATCGTTCCTGGTTTAATTTGAAAAATGTTACCCACAATTAACCCAATTTCTCATTTTTTCTTAACAGATAGCACGAGTACAAGGGGGTGGTTGATTGTAAATGGTCACACAATTTCAAATAATGTAACAGGTTGTGACATAAATTTCAATGAGACAGTACTGAACATTACTTACAACTGTGAAAGTGACATAAAACCATGTCTTATTGGGATAATAGCAGCTGGTGGGGGAAAGCCGTCACGTGGAAAGGATAAGGCTATGTATATTTTGGAACAAGAACTACACGACCTTAATGTGACCATAAAACATGCAAGCTGCACGTTAGATGGTGAATGCAACATATTACAATGTCGAATACACCAAGGTAACTGTTTTACTTTTTTTAAATGTATTTTTTTCTTTTAAAGTTTAAAAAAAAAAATATTTATAAAATGTGTTATTGTGTTATAGACTGAGCTGAACTACTCATTAGATTTCATTATAAAGCTATTGTCTTATTTCTATTCCAAAAACTGTACTGTTAAATTAATTTAGTAAATGTTACTGAAAATATTCCAGACATTATTATTTTTTCATGTATTAAAGCAGTGAAAGAAAAAGACACGACTTCAAGTATTAAGAATACTGTTGTATTTTGTATTGTATCTCTGGCTGCGTTAGTGTTTATTATAGTTATTGGATACAGGTAATAATCTATAAATGTTTAGATAATTTTTAAAAAATTGAAATAATTGTATTTCGAGTAGCATGTATAAATTCAATGTTAATCCATTATTAAGTGTTTCATTAATTTCAAAATTAAGAGAATATTAGAGCACCATTTTAAACGTTGTTTCCTTTCTAACACAATATAACAATGAAAAGAAAAAAAAATTATTCAGCTGTCAAATATTTCCTTTTTTTTTTTTTGGAATTGTCTATCATACTGAAGTAAAATCAAGAGTGGTTTTCTGCAGGTAGAAATATTTTTTCTTCATTCGTTTTTAATTTTTAAATTGTTCGGTGTTTTATCTTCTTTTTCTTTTGAAGAAATGAAAATTAAAAGTTATAATGAAATCATTCTTAAATGATGTGTCTTATGTGGATAAATGCTAATGAGTAAAATATTTCCTTATAAGCATATTATTTTTTAAAAATAATTATTTTTGTGAGTCACGTTTATTCTAAGCATTATGCCAATTACACACACTGTCACATATGCTTAATATGGATGTCTCTTTCTCTATGTCTCTCAAGATATTTTTGGGGGTATTTTTCGGTTAAATTTTTGGTTGTATTTTAAATATTTTTATCTCTGATTCAGTCTACCACATTAATTTTGTTTAATGCTAAAATAAATTTCTACCAATTGTAGCTGCTCTTAAAAAATAGTACCACTACGGATACTAGAGGTAGAAGAGAAGAACATGAAACCGTATTGTTACGGCAAATATCTTGTAAGTATACAACACGTGTATGTCTAATCAGTCTTACTAAATTTCCTAATTATGTATGTATATATGATCAGGCCCGCCGAGACGGGGGGGGGGGGGGCAGGGGGGGGGCAAATCCCCAGGGGCCCAGCGAGATTTAGGGGCCCGGCACGCGCCCGCAATCAACTTTTGAAAATATTATAATCAGCTATAAAAAATATATTACTTATGCTTTTGTAAATATAACTTAACTAAACTTAATAACAATCAGATTAAACGTCAAGCATCTGAATATTGCCGTACTTATTTACCATTTTATCATTTTTATGCAATTCCGTCAATCAGTCGTCTTAGTACTTTCTTCTGCTGAAATAAACATCAATTTTTGAACACGAGTCACACGTGACACGACCAGAGAGACCGGGCTTGGTAAATTCGGCCAGTGCCCCTCTTTATTTTGAACACGCCCACACTGGGCGTTTGAAATTAACTTCTGCTAAATGTGCTAAACTATTATAAAGTAAACAAATATAAAATGATAATAATTTTTTGTAATGATGAAATATAAACACAAATCTGGAGCACAAAAACGAAAAGAAAAAGCTAATACATTAAAAACGATAAAATCGGCAGGCGTACATTATTTCAATTTGGAATCGCAAATGAAAAGGACAAATCAGAGCCAGGTGTAAACTTTCCTATCTTGGTTGATTCTAATGAATTAGACTTACATGAACGGTCCGGAATTTCCAGGATGGTGGGGCCAGAATCGGAACCGTTCCGATTGGATGAAAATGAAGATAGCGTTAGCATCGTAATTCCAAAAGATGAGAGTGTAAATATAAATGATGAAAATCCGAAAAATATAGAAACAGTTGAAAGATTAGGATTTGATGTAGGCACTTTGCCATTCAGGCAAATACTCACACAAACTATAGAAACCGTGATACGAAACGGTCCACCTAGACATCCGGACAATTTCCCGGGCGATGGACAAAGAGCATTTCCAAAGTGCATTTTAAAGGTGTCCAGACAAAATGGAGACGTTTGTGAAAGGGATTGGTTTGTTTGGAGTAAAGAAAAAGAATCCCTGTTTTGTTTTCCATGCAGATTATTTAGTGAAGTTGCAGTATCCTGCAGATCAATTTGGTCAAGTGATCAAGGGTGGTCAAAACAACAAACGTGGCGTACGTTGTATGACAAAGTACCAGCTCATGAAAAAAGTGTCAGTCATAAAGAATGTTATATACAGTCGCAAGATTCAGAAAGAAGATTTCTACTTGGAAAGAATATAGAGTCTCATATTGATAAAGAAATTGCTGCAAAAGTGAAATACTGGAGAGATTTACTCAAACGAATTTTAGCAGTGGTTTTATTTTTGTGTGAAAGAGGACTTGCTTTCAGAGGTACTTCGAACAAAATTGATGACCATGATAATGGAAAATTTCTTGGAATTATAGAACTGTCAGCTCAGTTTGATCCGCTTCTACAAGAGCATGTTTCTAAAGTTCAAAAATCTCAAAAACTTGGTCAATGCCTTCAGGTCCATTATCTCTCAGCAGATTCTCAAAATAACTTTATCAAAGCATGCAGCTCAAAGTTGTTCAAGAAATTTTGGCAGAAAGAGAAAGATCAAAATATTTTTCAATTATGGTAGATGCTAAGCCAGATTGTTTTCATGTAGAACAAAGTACTTTTGTTCTGAGATGGTAAATTCTACAAACATTAACTGGATGCTCACTGCATAATCTTTCTCAAACTAGATGGTCTGCACATGTGGAAAGTGTGAAACCTATTACAAAGCATCTGCCAATTATCAAACATGCATTAAGTTATAGTGTGGAAAATAATGCGAGGATATACTGGTTTGGTAATATGTTTCGTTGTGTTATATATATATACATATAAATCTGTGTCCATAATCCATTTTTGAATTCCTTACACTATAAAATTAGACCAGATAAAATGCTTTACTATTGCTATGTGTTTCTAAATGGCTTTCTGAACTAGACAAGGATTGACAAATGCCGCTTTCTCATATCTACTATAATTAGCCTCTCTTAAAGTTCACCTTCATCGCCACTTACAGTGTGCTGCCTTAGGAGCTGCTTAGTCTTCACTGTTAGAAAGGGCTATCACATAAATTTAAGTCCCTATCACAATTATTCAGTAAACAATACAATTATTTTGTTGCTTTTGTAGAAAACAAAATCGAGGGATGGATTGGCAAGGTCGATTGCAATGAATAGGCCCATGTTACTGGGACAAGATGGAAATATATCGTTACATTGTTTGATAGTCGTTGGTTTTGGGTAAAATTTATGTTCACATAATATGAAATACACTTTCAACAAGTAATTTCTGTAATATTAATTTCTAAAATTAAAAATGTTTCGAGATATATAAAATATAATATAATTTAAACACAAAATAAGTAAGCAATTACAACCAAAGACAATATCTTGAATAATTGTTCATAAGGAGACCTCTTTATTTCCGAAATTTATATTATCTTAGTTTGATTTCCCAGGCCGTCTATCTTAGAGTTAGTAAATATTTATAGAAATGGAATAATCGTATTTTGCTTTTCCGGGTTATTATAACAAGCTAGTAAAGTTAAAGACAAATTTTTTACAAGTACTGATTTAACCTTTAGTTCCACATGGTCTGCAAAGTTTGAAAACATATCCTCTTTATTTTCATATTTGCGTCTTCTGTAATTATTACTTTTATATTAATTAATTGCAGTGTATGCTGTAACAGCATTCTGCAAACTATCAATATTAGAATTAAAATCTAGGTGTTCTTTATGAACTCTAGTTGACATTGCTATGGCATTGAATCGAAAAGTTGTTGTTTTTTTTTGAAATTCAAAGTTAATTAAAAAACACTCCAGCTCTTTTATCGAAATTCCATGGGTGATAATTTTGCACCAATCTGGCTCATTTCTCTAAATCTTGTTTTTAAGAATTTTTTTTTTTTAAAACTGATCTTAAAACATAATCCTTAACATCAGCAAGATATTTTTGAGTTTCATTAAGCAATGTTTAATTATCTGAAATTAATTTCTCTAATTAGCCATTTTTTAAATTTCTATTCGGTTAACCGGCTTCAGTTTCAAAATCCTTTTTTTATGCAACTAGAAAAAAATTATAAACATATTTTGTGGCTTTATTTACAAAGTGGAATTCATGTAAAATGTTTTTCATTTGTCAACTATCGCTTTCGACATCCTCTTGGATGGGAACAACTAGATTCCTTCTTTTTGGAAATATTTTTAATAAGAATGTTTTTGATAAAAAATTCGCAGAGTAAACTGGGTAGATCTATAAGCGCCAGCACGTGTAGAGAAGTGCGCGTAATCTTTTCTTACACCTCTGCCTGCAGCAACTCTTAGAATTTAACAAATGAGTGTTTCAGCTCATTTTTTTCTTAAAAAAAAAAAAAAAAACAATGGCTCGTCTATCGAAATGACTTTATTTTGAATAGAGTTTATAGTTTCAAAATAATTAATAATTGGTTGTTGCTTTTTATACAAAAACTTTTATCTTTATTTTAGTTGCATAAAACTTGTTTTTTTTTAAATTTTCGTCAAGTACCTGCCATCGTCAGGGCCCAAAAACGCTTTTTGCCAATCGTGCGATGCTCGTTAGGTCGGTCAGCCTCTGTCTGCGAGATTTTCACGTAGTCAGCCTTCATTATTATCAATGCACTTTTTTGCAATATGCTAAATTTCGTGTGTAGATTTTACTTTATGTTTATATAATAATGTACATACGTGTACATCTTTAAACAGTAGATCAGTGGTTCTTAAACTTGTTCCACATTGGCTTATGACTCACCATGACCATTACCCCACCCTCTCAACTGTAAATCTCAATTATAAGAATTCTTAAAATAAAGTTTGCACAACCCTCTATTTCAGACATAAACACACATTGAAATGATCAATTAAAAACTAAACAAAACACAATACTTAAAATAATTCAATTAAAATCGGAGTAATTTGATTTCCCAGGCCCTGCAGTAACGTAATTTTATTAGCAAGCGAGTTAGTCGTCTAACTTCTTCACTCGTCAATTATTATTATTACTGGAATTGAGGAATATGTTTAATAAAGTAATATCAATTTAAAGTCTCAATTTTATTTTTTAATGGAAAAGATCACTTACTATGTTCATATGAAAATGATATCTATGTGCTGTCAACAAAGCGTACAAACTGCTCTGAAACCACCTTCCATCAAATTTAATACAATCGTGAAAATGCACACGAAGCTTTATACATAAGTTATTAGATAAAATGTGTCATTCGGTAGGTTAAACTCTTTGGAAATTTTTAAAAATGTTTTTGCACAAAATATGTTTTACTGTGAAATGCACGTACTCTGATTAAAACCTGCATTAGTCATCGCATTTTTGATCACCCAATCAATCCCGAGTTTAAATAAGTAAATCAAATTTAATCACCGTACAGACCTTGGCCTCGAAAGCGTTTAGAAAACATTTAATTGTGTGCAATTTATCTCCATTGGCTTCATCATTATTTGAAAAATGAATTTTTTTTTTTTTTTAATCTGGTCAAAAGGTGTTTGACAGATGGTATCGGCTATATGAGGTATCCTTGTTTCAGAGCCACTGTACAGATGGGCTCGTGGCAATTTACAAATACTCATGTGGAAGACAATTTCAAAGAATTGCTTAAGCTCATCCTTCGTAATGTTCAGTCGGCGATTAATTTAAATTTGAATACTGTATCTGTTTGACTCCTCCAAGATATTTTCTAAAATCTCTAGATAATAATACTTTTGAAGTATTCTATTGGGGTACCAGGTGACTTAATATTCCTCACCAAGGAAGTCTGGAATGGTAGTAGTTATGTCAGGTCCTTCCTTTCTCTATTTCCAATATGTTCCCCTTGAGCTGCTGACTGAAGCTTGCATCCGTGTTGCAGCTTCATATTGACTTTATCTGAAATTTTAAACACCGGTTATGGGAATAAAACACTGCAATTATAATTCAAACATTAATACATGTTTCTTAAAAATATGTATTTGCATTCCTTAAAAATATTTATGTCATGTATAGCTAAATCATAAAAAAAAATTCAAATGTCAAAATTATATTTGTTTGTTATAATTACACTATATAAACTGATTATGCTTAACATCTGGTTCTAAATCATAAATATTAGAAACAGTTGAGACATCACTGTCTTTGTCAAACGTGTCCTCTTCATCTGAAGAAAGTTCACTGTCCTCCGATTTCTCTGGCAATTCTCAAAAATGAATTTTATTTGTTTTTTACAATAAACAATTTTGGGGTCCATAATCTGTAGAGAAAAGGGGGGGGGGCAGTTTTTTTATTAATTTCTTTAAATTTAATACATATGCCTTGTGCTATGAGTACAAATGGCAACATACCGTTCAAAGTTGAACTTATTAAATAGGCATGTGTTCCATCCAAACATTCTATTTGTATGTATTCAAAATTGAATGTTTTATATCACAATATTTTTTTACGAAGTGCCTACTCGTCCGGCGCTTTGGACAAATAGTGCTGGAGATATTCGTCCGGCAGGAATGTCACGTGATTGTAGGAAACTGGTAGGCGTTTTTTTTCTCCGGCATTTTATGTTGCAAGTGGTCGCCGGCAAAATAGTAGCATAGCAGTTGATATTCCAATCCCTAAATAATAAATAAATGCTCAACATGTTAATATATTCAAATGAACTAAGATACAAAAATTGTTTGACATTGCATATAAAAATAGTCGGCCTTTATACTAACTATTTATCACCCTCACTATTTCTTTTTAGCTATTGTATTTTTTTTATTATCGTAATTCTCTCTCCCTCTCAGCATTGCTATTGCTTCCTTCTACTTTTAGAATGCATTATTGCTTTTAAACAAGGATAATTTTCTATTATTTGTTTGCAAGATACTCAGTACATTATTTGGTAGAGAAATATATATTAAAATTAACAATAGTTTTGAATCATTTGCGGTCACGTGACAAGGCTTACGGACAAATCTATAGCGCCCCTTTGTAACATTGCTCATGTGACTTGGTCAACGGGCGAATATCTCGTTAAAGTATTCTTCCGGCGGTCATGTGACTCGGTCGCCGAACGAATAGTGCGGGAGATATATGTCTGACACTGCCATTTTTTAAGCACATACGCATGTTGTAGAGTGAAATGTTAATGGTGTAAACTTACCTTATCAGTGCCGAAAAAAAAAATGAAAGACGCGCTACAAATTTGATCTCGAAGAGACTTGCTTCGAACACAAAGGAAAGTGTACTAACGTCAAACGCTTAAAAATAGAACGATTTTTAAGGAGGCCATTTCAAAATTAGTGATGTTTTAATATACAATTGTTATCCCTCTTTGATCGGTATGTTGCCAAAATGGCATCAGTGCACCATATGTATAGGTTTAAGAGCTCAACCAGCCCCTAACATCTAACAAAACTCTCTAAGCATTTCCAAAAAACATTGGGTTGTATGCCCACACTAAGACCACAGAAATAAAGTATATATGTTTTTTTTTAAAGTGTTCTTATAATAAAATGCCTGTAATAAATGATATGGTTAATATCAAGTTTAAATGCTGTAAAGTAATACAGTTTCCTTTTTCAGGGCCTATATCTAGATCCATATGTAGCTTTATAATGTAAATAGCCACATTTTAAAAGATATATATATATTTTTTTTTTTAAATTGTGTGCAGCTAAACAACCTATTGATACGTCAAGACCACTTAAGCACTTCCAGTGTGAAAAGAATTATGGGCATTCCAAATTCTATGCTCTCAATGATATCAAATTGGATTACATTCATGGAGCTTATCAAGACGACGAGATCCTAACATTAATTAAATGCATAGCTGACCTCACTACAAGAGTATGTGTCAAATACACAAGTAAACACAGACCTACCTCTGTAAAAGATAGTAATGAGATGAATCTGAATTACCTCATCAAGGACATAAAAGCTCCTAGGTACAAAACTGGAATGATTATAAATGTTCAAAAATATTCAGACGATGGCTCAACATTTCCATGTGAAAAGTGCATAGGAAAGTGTGTGCACAGTGCATCAATGGGTAACGTGTTTATACTGACAGCAAGCACAGTTGTTTATGATGATAGTGAAGCTGAAAAATCAAGTTTTGATTTGTTTTATGACTCGCATTCTAGTCAGTTTACTACATTGCAAGGCAGACGTATCAGTGAAATTGATCTATCTGAAGGTTGGTGTGTAGTAGAGTGTGTCACATGTGATTTGAGCTTATTGGATAGGTTGATATTGATGACAAATAAGTGCAAGGAACAAATGATTAAAGTTAACATGAAATACAATACACCAGAACATCAGCGCACATTCACGTGTATTGTCTCACATCCTCATGGCTTCCCAAAACACGTAACTTTTGGATATTGGAAAGATAGGGTAAGCGTGTCGAAGGATCGATATAATTTACATACGAGATACCAATACACCACACGTACATGTCCTGGTAGTGCTGGTGCATTTGTTTACATTATAGGAGTGAGTGATATTTCTCAGAAGGCCTATCATGTACATATAAGTTTTCAAGCGGAACGTTGTAATTACTGTAGTATTGGTGTGGAAAAATTACCCGAAGTTATTGATCTTTAGGGGTAAGTTTATAAAAATGTAAACTGCGGGGAGAACAATTTCTCATTTAAAGCTTTAAAAAATGTAATAAAATTGTTAAACTTATTTTTTCCTAAATAACTAGATAACGATTTTTATTGTTCCATAAACATTAATGTTATCAACCACCTAACAAATACTTTCAAAGAGTAAAAAAAAAATGTATAAGTGTACACATTTGTAATATGAATCCGACAGTTGAATCTATTACTAAGCTCATTACAAATTGTGTTATTCTATTGATATAGATCAAGTACCGACATTTTACTTTATTGCTTTTCTGTTTATATTAAATGGAATTATGATTTGTAAATTATTTTTGGTAATTATTCAAATTAATGTTGTTTACTTATCTTTTTTGTTAGAAGAATGGAGATAATATGATGTGACCGATCCTCACAAAAAAATAGGCAATTCACTTGGGCCATTCCAAGTTAGAGCCATTTTGTATGCCAGCTTTTATAAATATTTTATTTTAATTTATCTAAAATATCTAATTTTATTTTAAGTTATGTAGATATGCTGTTTTTTTTTCAATTTAATTTTAAAACTATTTTTAAATAATTGTTTACTAGCATTCTTTCTGAGACTTTAAAAAAAAATTGAACTTAGACTTACCGAGACTTCATTGGAGATAGACTTAACGAGACCTATAGGAATATTTTTATTATAGTTTTTATGAATTAATATTTCTGTTTTGAGGTATGTACCTTTATTTCCACTTGCTGTAAGTTAACATACACTCTTTGCTTCTGTGCTAAAATTTTATCTGTGTTGAAATTTATGTATGTAATACAATTATAGTTTAGTATTACTAAGTTTGGTTTCTTTTTTTAAAGATTGTTAGGTAAGTCTTTTATTACGAATTGTTTTTTATCCGAGCCAAACTATTAACACACATTTAATCTTTATAATCATAAAGCTCGTAAAACCATGTCTTTAATTTTAATGTCTTTTATTATTCTGGAAGTCTTAATAAGTCCTAATAATTAGAAAAAGATTCAATGTAAGAAACTGCACACGATATTTTCATTCAACTTCATCTGGCTATTCACATATTTCAAGTTCTTTTATTTTTTAATTAATCATTATAAGGTACCTAAAGCATGATATAAAACGGCAAAACACAGTAAACTATCAATGCAAGATGACATTAGTAGGAGGAAAGGAGCAATAAATACGAGAAGCAATCTGAAAAGCTCTAGGTTTAATAATTGATCTGATTTGTATTTTTCGCTAAAACGCTAAAAGAGGACTAATATTTACTCGCAACTATTTTGATTTTAATAGTGATTTATTTGACGAAATTAGATGTGTAGCTCTGTTTACCAAAATGTGTTCTTGGTACAATAGAATTGTTATGGTTTAAATTGAATAAATGGTAGAGAAGACACATATACGCGGTATAAATATATATATATATAAACACATAGATGATTGCATTAGCATCAAGATTTCAGAAACTCATCCTAAAATTTCATCAATTAAGCAATATATATTATCCATGAACAATGTAATTGATATAAATATGTCAATATAATCATTTCATTAAATTTTTATTTTAAAGAGACAAAACACTACTTGACAGACGCTAAATCAGTTACACTTTGTTTAGTGAAATGTTATTACAGAACAAAGAGCCACAAAAATGAAAGCTCTGAACAGGAGTGGAGTGCGGAATTGAATCAGCTGGATTGATTTTTAATTAGTCTTTTAAATACTTATTAAAATGTAATGAGACATTTTATTGACCCTGGTCTCGGGTATAAAAATATACACATTATATAAAACAGACTTTTAAAAAAAAAAAGGTCTCTCTATCAAATAACATCTTTTAACTCTTGCGGAGCTTAATGGAGGAAAAAGTGTATTTGATAAATCGAATTTTTATTACATGACTTGCATATGAGATACCTTTACAGCATAGACGATAATATATAATTGAATGCGTTCAAATAGGGTGAAAGAAATAGAAGAAAATGCAAACTTTGGAACAGTATATGTAACTTTCACACTAAGATAATACTCAATTCCTTACCGAATTAGTTAAAAGCTTTACTGATACACATTTTAAATTTTAATTTTCCCCTTTAATTGATAAGTGTTGTACAATACAGGATCAGTATCCTCGGCCTGTTTACAATGGTTAAGGATGTTTATAGTCTTTCCTCCTCTAAATCATTTTTGACACCTAAAGGCAGTGCTGTTTTTTATAACTATGTTAGTGTAATCCTACGCCAAGGATTAGTTGCTATTTAAATTTTATTTCAAGCAGATGTTTGGAAATTTTTGGTCGTTAGCCTGGATAAAACGTAAAAAAGGAAGAAAAAAAATATTTGATGTTTTTTTTTTTTTTTTTTTTTTTTGCTTCAGTTTGGAATAATGTGTTTTTTATTTTATTTTTTTTTTTTTTTTTTTTTCTGTTGCTTCAGTTTGGAATAATGTGTTTATCATATCATTTTTATATGTACAAAATTATTGTATGAAATAATATCAAAATTTGTGGCAATATAATATATTAATACAATCAGTCGACAGCAAACTGGATTGAAACAATAGTATTTAAGCATGCAAACATGTTTAGATATTTATAGTATTTGTATATATATATATATATATATTTATATATATATATATATATATATTATATATATATTAAGTTTTAAAAAAATTAACATAAAAAAATCAACATAAAAAACATAATTCCTTCATTTTTAAAAATATTTCTATATCTTTACTATGAAAAAAATAAATTATTTTCGTATTTTGTAATAAAATTTCTCTTCCAATAATGTGTTGTAAGTCGATTTTTTGTACAAAATTAAATTATCATCTTAAACGTCTTTTTCATCCCCATTCGTAAGATCATACTGCACGTCATCAACTATTCCCCCGCACCTGGTTGTCACCTGACTTTCGGGATTACATTTTTTATTTAAATTATCAGATGTGCCACATTCTTTAATATCACCTACACCAATTTCATTTCTAAGCACATTTGTATTTGCTTCCTGGGCATCATTATAGCTTAAAGAATATGAATACATAACATTATTATCCTCATTATTGCTTACGTCTGAGTTACTGTTTTCTTCGATACGGTCGACTGTTGGATGATCTGTTTTTTCGTGTGTACAACTTTCTGGATCAGTTCCATTGGTTTTTGATTGAATATTTGAATCAATGTCCGTGTAGTCATTGGTTGTATATTGTTCCTGCCCTTCATAAATTCCATGGACCGCTAGTATATAGCCATCGTTGATTTCATCATAACCCATGTTGTCCTTTTTGTTTTCAGTACATCTCGTGCAGATCACAAATGCATTTTGATTATCTAGAGAGGAATGTAATCAAAAAATTTAAGTGTGCTTTTTAAACTTAAGCAATTAAAACATCTAGCCACATTTAAAGAAAAAAATACACACACAAAACACACACACACACATATATATATATATATATATATATATATATATATATATATATATATATATATATATATATATATATA